GGGGAGGGGGGGGGAGGGCTGGGGTAGAGTGGGGTAGGGTGGGGTGGGGTGGAGCGGATAGTTCTTCTAGAAGAATACTAGTAATACCACTAATACCACTAATACTAGTAATACTAGTAATACCACTAATACTACTAATACTACTAATTCTACCACTACTCGAAAAGAGGTTTTTCGGAATTCGAAGTTCGAATCCTTCGGGTGTTGGTGAGGGTACAGGGTACTTACAACTAGTTGAACTATGAGTAAATGACGGGATGCGATTCATGTGGTTCATGGGGTAAGATCCGGTAGGTGGGTACGGTAGACAGAGGGTGAAAGATAAGGAAAAGGAAAAAGGAAAGGAAAAGAAAAGAAAGGAAAAGAAAAGAAGAGACGCGTAACAACTGCCTCGATTCAACATCACGGGTGTAAGACCCCTGCCCGGGCTTCGCCGAAACGAGCAACGCCTGACCAGCTCGTGATCCGGGGGCTATCTGGCGTTCTGAGAAAGCTGGGGTTGGGGCGGGGCTCCTGATTGGATGGATCCAGAGCTGGACCGTCGATGTGGGATATATTCATGTATTTGTACAGTTGTGTTGGTATTTATAGTTGTATATAGTCATATATAGTCATATATAGTCATATCTAGTTATATCTAGTATATCTAGTGTATCTACCGGTAGTGTATCTACTATATACAATTCGATACAATTCGATATAGTTACATGTAGTTATCGACTATCTACAACGAGGTATATTGTATACATGCGACGAGACAGCAGCTGATGATCTGATGATCTGATTATCTGTTCACCTGTTCACCTGTTCACCTGTTCATCTGTTCATCTGTTCATCTGTTCATCTATTCATCTGTGCATCTGTTCATCTGTCTGTTGACTCGACGCAACAGAGAGACAAGACCATTGACGTCCGGAAAAAGAGAGTTCCTCTTCGCTTATCGACCTACCTACTCCGTACAGTACCGGTACTCCGTACGTACTCCATCCTCTCCATACCCCGTACACAACTGCCCGCCCGCCGAGCTTCCTCCAACAACTCAAGGCGAACCATTCCGACACCAAGGGTGGCCGAGAGGGCGAACGGGCCGCCGATTCGGCCAGCAATATCCCCCCTCCTCTTCCCAGGATCCGCATGTCACTCGTAGGATTTAAGACTGGGTCGACTTCCAACTTCGCCCGGGGTAGAAGCAGCAGGACTAATACTCACATCAGCATCATCAGCATCATCAGCATCATCAGCATCATCAACATCTAACATCATCAACTTCATCATCATCATCATCATCTTCTTCTTCATCGTCGACATCAACATCAATATCAACATCAACATCAACAACCACATCAACAACCACATCAACAACCACATCAACAACATCAACTTCGACGTAGCTATCGACAATAACTTCAATATTCACATTCACGATCGATTGCGAGATTGATCGAGCTCCTAAGAGAGATATACCCATAGCATAGCTGCTCGCTCAGCCGTACATTCGTCGCTTCACCCTAATACCCCCCAGGGACCAGGCAAGGAACCAACCCCGTTACCCGACGGATATCTCCATTCGTCTATCTGTCTGTCTGTCTGTCTGTCTGTCCGTCTATCTGGTTGTCTGTCTGTCTGTCTTCCGACTGCCGTCCGGCCAAAAGCAAACAAACATACATACAGACCACCTCCAACATGGGAATCTTCGGCGCAGCCTCCATCTCACTGCGACACCCCACCCCCCAATACTTCCAGCCCATCAACCCTATGGCACCCATCACCCCCATCACACCCTCGACGACTACAGTCCCACCCGCAGGCCTGTGGCGTGCCCCCAGCGACCCCTCGTCCCCTTCCCCCTCCGCCTCCGCCTCCGCCTCCGCCCCGCTCTCGTCAGACCACGACCACCATCTCCGGAAGACCACGTCCATGCTCGGCCTGTCCAAGTCCTTGAATTGGGGCCGGGGCCGCAAGAACGGCGGCAGCAGCAGCACCGGCAGTGGCGGCAACAACAACGGCAACGGCAGCAGTAGCAGAAGGGCCGAGGAGCGCTACCGGAGGAAGATCCAGGCCTGGGAGCGCGAGGACCGGAACGAGTGGGATGCGCCGAGCTCGCGGGGGATGGGTCGCGGCTTCGGTGGGGGGCCAGGGAGGAGGGCGCACCAGGAGGTGTTGAGGGCGTTTGCGTTTGAGCGAAAGGTGAGATCTGCCACTTTTTTTTTTTTTTTCCCTCTCCTCCCCTCTCCTCTCCTCTTCCCTTCCCTTCCGTATCTAATCCTATCCCATCCTCGCCGTGAACAGAATAGCTGATGGTTGTGTCGAGCAGAACCGGCCATCGATCGTCAGAGAAAGTGAAAGCGTCTTCTCGGGCATCTCGCCCTGCTGTAGTCGCATGAACAGCTTTGATGAAGAACGGGTCGGCAGTCGGAATCCCAGTTTGGCGGTTTCGCGCGCGGAGGTTGAGTAGGCGGATGCGAGGAGGTCTTGGGTGTCGGGTAATAAGTTTTGTTACTGCGGCTAATGCCGAAGTAAGAGGGCTGGCCGGTCGGCTGGCTGAAGGGGACGGAGACGGTAAATGAGAGTGACGCAAGGGAAAGCCGAGCGGGGGGGTGAGGGGAGGCGGCGAGAGGGGACCGGAAAGCGGAAGACGAGATTCGAGATGGGCTTACGTCAAACGTGCGGACATTGGCTGGATGTCTGGTCTCTCTGAGATGATGAGATGGGTGGCGTCGGGGCTCTATAATCTCCCTAGGCTGGGTGGCGAGAGGGGAACAAGCAAGAATAAGTGAGTGAGTGAGTGAGTGAGTGAATGAGTGAACGAGTGAGTGGAGTATATATATCTCAGGATCAGGGCCCGGCCGGCCGGCCTTGCCTACCTGACTCTTTTGTCTAATCTTTTTTTTTATATATATCTTCCTTTCTTCTTGTCAAATGACTGAGATGTTGTGTTGTGTTTTGTGGGGATAGAGAGATGGATAGATAGATAGATATGAAGTAGATATGAATATATGAATATATATATATATATATACATAGGATATGCATGGATGTATGGATTTCTCCCCATTCTCTCTTTTCTTTTTTTTCCAGAGAGTAGGTAGCTAGGTACCTAGGTAGCTAGGTAGGCAAGTTAAGCGGGAGTCCGTCTGGAAGGGAGGATGGATGGTAAGTGAAAGACAGACAGACAGACAGGGAGTGAATGAGCGAGCGGTGTTCACCTACTTTTAAAACTCAATGCTCAGTACTCCATACTGTATGTAGCGTACACAGAGTATCATAGGTACAATACAATCTGTATGTTTATACGTCAATTGACGCTTCAGATCCTGTTCTGTTATCTTTTGATGATTTTAATTTTTTTTTTTTTTTTTTTTTTTTTTTGCGTGGTGGCGGTGGCGGTCACGTTCGAATTTCCTGCTGGAACTAGTAATAGTAATGGTGATGAATGGTAATAGTAATAGCAATCTCACCCACCAACCAACCAAGCGAGCACTTTTCTCTTCGAAGAGTTCGTTCGTCTGGACTCTGGAAAGGTTGGCTTACTGGCTGGCCACGTTACTCAGCCTGATTTTTTTTTTTTTTTTTTGTTTTTATGATTGGGCTTTGTTTGGTCTTGGTAGTACGTAGGTAGGGCTTTGATAATACCTACCGGTACCTATCGAAGACGCTAAGGCTAATTAATGCATAGGTACAGTAGCATATCCAATAGAAATGTGAAAAGGGGTGGAAGGGGGTGAGGGAAAGCCGTACTAGCTTAGCGTGTTAGCGCCCTGTTCTTCCCATTTATTACTGTAGCAAGTCCTGTGGTGGCCTTAGGCCACCAGGCTACTATAAGTGGCACAGACTACTTGAGAGGGTATATAGCAGCCTCACGTTGCTTTGAGCTTCCAACAAGAACAACTACCTTGCTCCATCATCTCTTATTTCCTTATATTGTCTAGTCCCGTCTGGTAATATCTGCCTTCGTTGCAGCCTAACTTCCGGAGAAAGTCGCCGTCGTCCGACCTCGTTCCTCATCCCCGCCGCTAATATTATAGTAAAGCTATGTATTCCTTCGTACTTACTTTTTTAATATCTATGTCCCCGTCCGCAGAACCTTAATGTAATCAGGCACTTTTGACCCTTTTCCTTCTTTCTCTATTTCTTTCTTTTTGTCTAACAAGTGAACATTCTCAAGTACACAGTGACTAACAGCTTTCGCAGATAGTAGTCTGAAATTTTTTTATTTTTTTGTCTGATTGATGTCTGATATCTCTTTGCGAAGAGGCGCGTTGCGATGGAACCAAACACGAGCTTGGCCTGACCTTTTTTTTTTCGTGCTGGTCGAGTTCTCGAGTTCGAGGAGGAACGGGGAGTGGGAGAGAAGGGGAAGAGGATGAGGAGGGAGAAGAAAGGGGGGAGGGAGATGAGGATATATAATTTCAGACGAAGCTGAAAGAGTACGGAAAGGAACGAAGAGGCTGAAGAGGAGAGTCGTTAGGAGCATACGGAAGGTGTGAGATAGTGTGATTCGTTCAGCCTTGGCGGGAGTGGAAGTGGAAGGGGAACTTGTCACAGCGTTATCACGTGGTGAAGATGGAATGAGAAGTAGGGTAGGTATTTGGGAATTGAGAATACCGGTAGGTAGGATAGGAGATATGCGTATATACGAGGTAGGTTAACTTGCGGTTAATACCTACGCCGTATATGTTTACTTTTTTGTTTTCCATTATTCAGTTTAATACTCCGTGAGTTTGATTAAAGGTAATCTTGATACTTCGTTAAAGTATCCTCGCTATATACAGTAAAATACTACTAGTAGTACGTACTAGTATTGATCGTTAATCTGGCCCCGCAAGGCTGGCTCCCCGCCCCTGTTGTGCGCATTTTCTACTTCGTATGCATCAGTCTTGGCGTCCTCGATATATCCAATGGTGTCCTCGATGTGTATATTAAAGCCCTTTTGGTATTTTTAGGCGAGAGACGAGCTCCGTATAAGATGGGAGATTGAGAGCTGGGGTTTTCAGCCTACTTGGGGGTCCACGTTCTTGGCCTATTATTCACCGGGGAGTGGGGGGGCTTTAGAATTCAATATTCCCGGGTTCGAAGATGGGTGATGGATGATGAGTGGGCACAAGAGTCGGCCTGGGCCGTGATGGACTTGAGAGAAAGGATAGAGAGAGGGCAGAGAGGTTTTTCGGCTCTGCTCGTTAGCGTCCGAGATGTTGTTGATTTGATACGGAGATATCCCGTGGTCATGATTTAGTCATCTGATTTGTAACGAATGGTTCTCTTGGCTCCCGATCGAGAAATCGAGAAAGCATTTTACTGTATTCATTGGATACTTTTGTTTTTCTTCAGAATCTGCAACATGATGTCGACGTTGATGACATACAGTACCTTGGGCGATCCCGCCTTAGCAGGATGGATGGGCGAATGGTAAGCGCCCAACCAAGGCCCGGAAGTGCCCTCCGGAAGACAGGGCTCCTTGCCGAAAAAAAAAAAGAAAGAATGTAGACGAAGTGTGAGCTTCTTTCTGTCCGAAGGGTACCAAGCATCAAGCATCGACTAACTCGGCAGGGGAGAGACTCCGAGAGAGGAGGGGGGCACTTGGGCAACTTTTTTTCTCATTTGTTGTTGCTGCTGCTAGTATGATCCGAGTGCTGGGACATAAATACTTACAGAATACGGACAGTCCCGGCCGACCGCTCTCTCCCTCTCCCATCAGCATACATGCCAGAGTTCGTTCGAACGGTCCAGAGTCTAACGGCTCGTGAGGAGGTACGGTAGGATATTGGAGACCTGTGGGCTGGCTGTCCTGTCCGGGAACTGGTGTCATGTTCGCTGCAGATCTTCCTGGGCCGGGCTGTGGGCTGGCTGATCGATGACACCCGGCGCGGCCAATACTTCACACATACTACTGTACGTACATACTCATCGCAGATGCCGAGATGAAACCGTGTTGCGTGCAAGCCACGATCGGTAGGATGGCTCTGTTGCCGCCGGCATGGAAATGACATGGGAAAGATAGCCGAGTTTGTATGTACCAAGTACGGCACTAGCTACTCTAGCCGAACTCTTCTTTCAACGCCCTCGTGTTGCGCGCGACACATCATCACCCTGATCCATTCTGTCGAGAAGTTGCAAAGATAAATCAAACGCCCAGCGCCTCCAGCCAGCTACGTGGTACGTACGGATCAAGAGCACCAAGACGGGAGGTTAAGCGCAGCAGCTGCAGCAAGCAATCACGGTGGCTGCAGCTCGGGTCCCTCCCTATAAGCTGTCCTGTCAGATCGAGGGCTCTCTGCTTTGGGAAGCACTTGCATATTCCTCCTACCTACCTACCACTGCGATCAAGTCATCCATCCTGCTATCCTGCCTCTCGTCCGGCCCTGAGGTGCTCATCCGCCCACATCGCGTGTTGGATCGGGGGTTTAGCGAGGGCCCCTTGCGAACGATCCATGGCGGTCAATAATTGCTTTTTTTTTGCTATTCCATCGAGGAGAGTCAGCCTCGCCCTGATTCAGATCCTCATTCATCGATTATTCGTTTATTATCCCCGTACACATTCGATCTCTACTTCGGAATTGCTTCTTTCCTTCCCCAGGGGGCCCCAGGGGGGTATTCAAGAATGCGTCGGGGTCACTGCGGTGGGCAACGTTGGACCCATATCAGCCATGCGTGGTACAGATTTGCGCCACCCAAACCTGCCATATATTCTGTCCAATTCAATTCGAATCAAACAGACGTGGAGGCCGGTGGATGATCGATGTCCGACGTTCATCACGTACCCTACATCCAGATCCAGATCCAGAGCCAGAGCCAGACCTGAGTCTTGGTCACCGCTCAAGCTACAGCAAACCATCACTTTCTCAGAGCAGGAGCATGCCACTTACCCTTCTCAGGGTGGCCAAGATCTGCTACTACTTGAAGCATGTCTTTCTCCACTCTTCTCCGATCTATCACTTTTCCTTCTCGCATACATGGTCTCTGTAGACGGAGACGTCTCCGGCAAATCCACCCGTGGCCGCGACGATGCTACCTCATAAATAGCCCTCCCCAAGCTTCCAGAGCTGCGTAGTCTACGATCGTTGGTGATTGTGTCGGTTTCATATCACAACCCTTTCTCTTCCGCGTCATCATTTCCCTATATTTTCGAGAAGAAAGGCTTCCATTCCATTAAATAGCCCGACTACAGATCAAGATGCCCGAAGTCTTACCCGGGAACCTGACCGGTCTCTATTACATTTCTCTCGGAAATTTACCGTGGAATCTCACTTGGAGACAGCTGAAGGACTTTGCACGGAATCGACAGCCGGACGGTAGCTGCATCGCCATCGAGCATGCACACGTCTATGCCGACCAGACGGGGGGGTGGGTAAGCGTCCGGGGCAAAGAACACTACCTGCGAGCCATGGGTAAGTAAGGACCCAAATCAATCGTGGGAGTACGTGTTGCCGACCACAGAAACAGATCATTTGAGCTATGCCGAGATTGGTGGCCAGAGGAACGGACGCGTTCTCCTGCCGCACTGCGTCAACGAGACCAGCTCTTTCATGCTGCGGAGTGACAACGACAGTAGTCCATCCTCGACAGGCAATCGTCTGCAACAACAACAACAACAACAACAACAACCGACTGCCGCACCCTCACCCTTTCCTGTGCCGACACAGGCTCAACACCCGCAGCCAAACTCCATGCCGCACACACAAATGGTACAGCAACATCCGACCGAGCCCAGTCTGGGGCCGCAGAACTTCAATAACGTAAGTCGCCGGTCGTCGGTCGTCGGCTCTTGTGACACTCTCGGCTATGTTTGACGACGAGTTTCCTGGCTGACCAACCTCAGTGGCTCCTCCCACAGCCGGCAGCAAACTACGCTCCGATGTCTCCTACGTTCTCCGATTCGTTCTATCAGCTACCATCTCCCCACAGCACCTCCAACACTTCCTTCGATGGACTGATCCCGTCCGAATATACCACATATCACTCCTCGGCGTTGATGTTCCCCAGCAACCTCGCCACCTCTCTTCTTGTCCGACCGTTCTCCAGCCCGGTCTATATGGTACCGCAGCAGCTCCCACTGTCATACCAGCACCAGCACCAGCCCAGTCCCATATCCATGCCATCTCCCGCAGGTGCAGGATACACCCCACGAACCAGCCCTCCCTTGACTTCGATCCCATCCCCAACCCCTCCTTCCCAGGCGGTCAGAACCATCAGAACAGAAGCCCGCAAGATCGTCATCAAGGGACTGCCTCTCCACACCACGCAACACGAGCTACAGGAGCTTCTCAGCCGAGTATCATCGACGCCCAGCGCGAGCTCGAGCTCGAGCCCCTGCTCCCGTCATCACCAGCGGCCACCCAAGGGCACCACCCACTACCACCTCCAGACCCTGGAGATGGCCAAGCACTCCGACGGCCGACCCAAAGGTCTCGCGTTCGCCGTCTTCGAGTCGCACTACACGGCCAAGAAGGCCATCGAGTACCTGAACAGCCGCACGTGGCAGAACAAGCAGCTGACCGCGCGCTTCGCCAAAGAAGGCTACGTCGAGCCCAGCCGCGGCTGCCCGCCGGCGAACCGCTCCCGCCACCAAGCCCCAAGCGGCGCAAGCGCAAGCCCCGAGAATTCTTCTTTCCGAGGGGACCAGAGAGGCAGGGGCGGGGCCACGGCAGCTGAACGGCGCCGCCTAGTCGATGGGCAGGGACATGATCGTCGTGATGGAGGTGAGGATGAGAAGGGGGAGCCGGGCACGCAGGAACAACAACAGCAAAGACAACAACCGGCTGCAGAGGCAGACTTCGACGCACGGTTCTCCAGTCTCGACATCGGTATCGACTACCGAGACGGCGTGGCGCCGTCGTCATCTTCCTCGTCCTCTTCCTCTTCCTCGTCCCTCTGCTCCGCTGCTTCATCGTCCGCAAGGGACCACAGCGTGCCGAGTCTGGGCAGTCTGAGTAGCGAGGGCGAGAAGGAGCGCGGGAGGAGGATGCGCGGCAACGACGTGCGCCGGAACACGCCGCTGGTGGTGGATGGGAGCTCGCCGGGTAAGCGACACCGGTAGACTATGTATACGTAAAGGCAGGTAGCTGGCCAGCTGACTTGAGATGGGTATCTTTTTTTTCTTCTCTTTCTCTTCCTTTGCCTTTCTAAATTTTCATTACCAAAAGCGAGACTTGGCTGGGCGTAAACGTATTGCTAGCTTGTTTGGTTCACTTCCTAGGTGCTTGGGGGCTGGTTGTTGGGTTGTTTTGAGTTGATCTGATTTGATTTCCCTTGAGTAACACATTGTATTGCCCTTATTTGCCTCGAGTAACAAATTGTATTATTATTATTTTTAACTTTCAATTTATCTCCATACCTAATTTGATTTTCGTAAAGCCAACCGCCCAGCTGTTCCCGTCTCGCATTATTCAATACTTATTACACGACGCCACTATGCGATGGCAGGGCCCTGGGCCAGACAAACCAGTCAGTCGGTTCCCCTTTAGCGAGGTCAGGAAAACAATACGAATCCGTCCATGCTCTGACATATATTATTCGTATATCTAATTATCACTGACTATTTATTATAATTATTTTTTTAAAAAAAAAAATCGCCGAGATGACCCCGATCGCTAAACGCCAAACTCAATTCCGACATGATTAAAGGGGCCTAGGCATGGCCCGCAAAGAGATCCGTCTTCACCGTCTGGCTCCCTTCATCCCCCAACACCACCTTCGCAATCACGCCCGTCGTCTGTACCACGGTCGCCGACCCGTCGAACAGCGTGTACTCGCCCGCCGTGCCCATGGCCTTCATCTCGACCGTCACGTTGGCGATCCGCGGGGCCAGCGACCCCGGCTGGGGCGTCGGCACGTAGAGCATGCCCTGCACGTTGCCAATGCCGCTGTCCATCATGGAGGTCAGGGCGGCGGCTCGTAGCGTGACGGTCCCGGTCGCGTTCTCGACGCGCGACTGCATGGGCAGCACGAACAGGCGGTCGTTGACCGGGTACGACATGTCCTCGAAGTCCATCGAGGCGGCGGTCCCGGCCTCAAAGTCGCCCATGCTGCTGTTAAAGGCCCAGTAGGTGGTGGTGCCGAAGAGGGACGTGCCGTTGCCGCTCGGCTCGTCCGTCGTCTCGGGATCGGACTGGGTGCCGTCGGCAGTCTTCATGTGGTAGGTGACGCTTTCCCGGGGCGCGGTGCTGTCGTTCGAGGCGGCGAGGGCGCGGATGAGGCCAGCCATCGTTACTTCGCCGTCGGGCGTGATATCAAGGCAGATGTTCATGGCTTTCCAGGGCATGGGCGTCACAGGCGGGGAGAGGGTGACGGCCCGCGGCACCACGTCGATCATCTGCTGCATGACCTTGTTGCAGCGGTCTTGGAAGGCGGCGGGCGCGCTCATGCTCTGCACCGTGGCGTTACCGTCGGACGTGTAGAGGCGCAGGTCGGAGCGGCTGGCTACGGCGTCGGTGGTGATGAGCGGGCCGCCGCGGCTGCCGGTGTTGTTAAGGTACTCGTTGATGTTTCCCGCGTCGAAGTTGGAGGGCGTGGAGTCAAATGAGACGCCGCCATCAAGACTGTGAATATGGGTCAGTAGCCGAATGTGCAACAGGTAGGGAAACGACGCGGAGCGGAGTGTGGCTTACTTGGTAGGTGTCACAGTGCTCGCGGGAACTGGATATTGTCATTCACGGTTAGTTTTATCTGTGTATGTGTGTAGGGCTGCAACCAGGGAAAAAGAGGGAGAGAGGCGTACTGATATCCGGGAAATTCACACTACGGACGCCCCCGAGTGTGTGGCCACATGCACTAAGAAAGAATACTTCAGCATAAAATTCTGGTCTCGGACACGACGGAACGGGTTATTGACTACTCACGTCAGAGCGATGGTATCCGAGGGAGAGAATCCAGCCGCGCCGAACCGGGCCAAGGTCTCGGGGAGGCCTGTTAAAGGTGTTGGAACTCCAGACGGGCCTGCTGCCATGGCGTCGATTCTGCCCGCCTTGGGCTGCATGCCCGGAGCAGTGCCTGCGCATTCGGCAACGGCCACGACGACACCCTATCCACGGTCAATATCCGAAATCAGGGCTTCGAGATGAGCACATACCAAGGCAATGTGGTCAGCCATGCTGAAATAGGCCGTCGTCGTCTTGGGAGCTTGGTCAGCATCCTGTCTCTAGATCATGTCCCTGGGGAGAAGAGATACATACCGGTGCGAAGAATTTGATAGTATCATTAATAAAGACGCCTTTATTCTCCTGGCGATCTGTCTCGTATGCAACCGAACCATCGAGGCCACTATAATCTCGTCAGATCAGACTCCTCGGAACACCACCGCAACATGCCCTCCCTCCGCGTGGGGGAAGATCTCGCTTACCCCATTCCCGTAGCCACATCCCCCGTGACAAAGTCGTGGAAGGCAACCCGAACCCACTCAGCCGCCGTGATCTCCCTGCGGTTCTGCGCATCGGGCTGGAAGCCGACGTAGTTCGAGCAGGGATTCACTGCGGCGACGAAGGGGCTGTTGTTCATCCCGGCGTTGTCAACGAGGTGGTGCTCCATCTCCTCCATCATGTCGCGGAGCTCGATGCCATTGATGCTCTGGGCAACGGCGGATCCGAGAAGTTGAACGAGGGACAGGCGAACGACGGTCGAGAGAGCTACTGAATGACGCATCTTCTTTTCTCTCTTTTTTCTTTTCCCCTCTTGTAATTGCGATGTTTTTTGGATGTCTGAAGAGAAAAAGCGAATGGATTTCGTGATAGATAGGGAATTATTTTTGGTATTCTGCGGCGTCGCAGACCGTTTTAATAGGAACTCCAGGTTCACCAACAGTGAGGCTTTCAACCTCTATGGATTTGCGACTCGAATCTTTGTAATCTCCGCGCACCGTGATGGCTCGACGGGGAGCGTTGCATGTCGGTGTGACATGTTAGCAATGAGACGATGGTCCTCCGCTCGTGGGGTGCCAGTTGCAGCAGCACCGGGAACGTCAGTGAGCTCGCCAAACCAAACATCTCTTCTCCCCCCCATGGCGCTCCCAAAAACAAAAGGCCCTCGATTTTTGACTGGTGGGCGTGCTGGAAATCGGCTGTGCTATTCGTTGCTTGGACCCGGGGAGGCTTTGACATCTTTTGCAAACCACTGCTAGCCTGGTATCATGTACCAGGTATCAGCTGTATCAGTATCATCCGAGTCCTAGCACAGCACAGCACAGCCGCTGAGAGAGAGCGGGTGGTAGAGTATGGACGAGAAAGGATTTGAGGTCTGTGAAGTTGAAGTTTGAAGAATACGAGTTGAGAAATGAGAGACGGGGAAATCCTAGGGTCTGACCTGAGTGGCAAAAACTTGGAGACGTCGGGGCCGCAGCTCGCTTAATTTTTTTATCGCTACAGTAGTTGCACCTATTTTTCAATTCTCTGTTCTCTTCCGTCCGCCATCCATCTTCCGTATCCTACGGTATCGCATCTCGGCATCTCGGCATCTCGGCATCGCGAAGATCGTCACATATTACGTTCTGCAACGAAACGATGAAACGGCATCATTGGAGGCACCGAAATCGCCGCCTTGAATATCGCCTCTAGCACCTCGATGAGCAAAGTGTGCTTTGGCGGGTTCGCATCCGGCATGACAATATCTTTAATCAGCTTATCTGAGACCAAATAAAATTAGAGAATTATATAATAACAAGTGCTCACACGAAAAACTCGCATCCGTGACCGCAGGTATCGAAACCAGTCATCTTATTGTCTATACTATCGCCGTAAATAGAGGCTTTTTTTCACATTTGTAGGCTTTTCGACTTTTTGCAGAAGGGTGAGAAGAGGCAGGAGTCCACACTGCAATCATCTTGGGTATAAGGGCTTTCTACGCAGTTGACAAACCTGGGGCCGTGGCAGAGCTTAAGAAATCCTTCGCGTGCACTGCGCTTCTCTATTAGGTACATGTGCAGTCGCGACTGCAAATGTAGCTGCGGCGAGGAAAGCGCTGATGAATAGCATATTGATAGATTGATAGAGAAGGGACTGTTGTTTCAAGAAATTGATAAAATGATTTTGAATAATAACGAGAGAAAAAATGGTGTCCGACTGTATGAACTGACAAACAAAGGTACTTCTCCCCCTTCGCAGAAATACGGCGGTGTAGTTGTAAGTTTATCAAAAGCTTGTAAGTTAAACTGACTGTAACCGAGTGCCCGCAGGTTCATAGTCAGCGCACTGACTATTAAATCTAAACTCAGATCTATCATTTCGCCTCGTCGCAGATAGAATCGATGTATTATTTCTTCCCTTTTCTTTCTCGTATCAATTCGTTCTAAAGTCAAGTTACTTAGAATTTCGTTGACCTATAAGGCCTATAAGGAGATAGTTCTAATAATAATTGTAATTAAAATCAGCGGTGCTATTAAAAGCCTTGCCTCAGTATCAGGCTGCCCTTGGCTGTACGGCGGTCAAGTGCTATACAAGTAGCGTAGAATCTGGTTTAAACAAGTCCTTGGCAAGGCGTGCGCGGTAGGACGGGCAACGGCGAGAAGTGGCCGATGGGCAGGAAATGATGTCTTAGAAATGCTAAGTATCAAAATCTTTGGCTTCGAGCAGCCAAAATGAATAGCTTTAACGCTTATTTGCATTTTGATATGCTGATATACGTAGTATATCTTTTCAACATCTTAAACAAACTGTGTCGAATAGATAAACAGCTTTTACTATTTTTCTTATATAGACTTTGTATATGCGTTTGAGCCTCTCAACAAAGCTAGCGCCCAAGATACTCGCTTTCGGTCTCACGACGTTGGATTCTGCTCGCTGAGTAATCCTTTTTCTCGCTTCTCTATCTTGCTGGCCCTATCGCCTAAGGCTTGCTAAGGACTCATTTAAACCAGATTCTACAGTATTACCTGTATCAACAGAGGAGTGTGAGAGAGACAGATTTATCTAATTTGAGCAGCATCGTCGAAATGCTCCGAGACTGACGTTTAAAGCTGATTTCTAAACAACAATAATAACATACAGTGTAACTATAATGTCATTTGAGCTCCTATTCCGGTCCGCAACCTTTTTTAATAAGCATTTTTCTCTAGCTTCCTACGACCTTCTGTTACGGTATCAGCGAACGCTATTCCGTAAGGGCAGGTCACGAGGCCTAGGGCAGGTATAGGTTATACGTTACTTCGTAACCTCTGGTTTCCGTCTTAGCAGGCCTGCTTATAAGACCTCCTTTTTGTATTTGATTCTCCTTTCTTTTCTACGTCTTTCTTTCTTACTATAGAGAGTACTCTTAAGTCATAATATAATATTGCTTTTGATAGCCGTAGTAGAAAGAAAGAAAGACCAACTTCGATTCGCTAAGAAGCATTATATTTACTTCGTTGCCTGTCTGAAGTGTGCAAAGTTTATCGTGGAAATCGTGTTTCATACGTCCAGAGTCCGGCTCTACGTATGCGGATGATGGTAGTGCAGTAAAACGAAACGAAGGGGGGATATCACTCACTCACTCACCCGTGGCACGTGCCTCCTGGTTCCAAATTCTAGGAGTGGATTCAATTACAACTAATAGTCAGTGCAATGACTTTGTAATCTGCGGGCTCTCGGTCACTACCCGCAGGTTACAAAGTCAAGACCGAGAGCCCGCAGGTTACAAAGTCAGTGCACTGACTATTATTATTGTTAGATGCTTCCTCTTTTCTGATGGCAAAATGTCCGCTAGGCGGGGGTTCCGGACTGTGTATTTTCCGCCTCCGGGAATGTTCACCGCTACCGTACATCTCTTGATTCCCCAGATTCCAGAGCTACGGGATGAGCTCAGAAGCTCTCTTCAGTCGTTGATAACCCTCGATGAAATGTGGGAACCTTCACAGCTGAGATCTCTCAATCGGGGCTGCTCTATCTGTTCATATATATCGACCTCTCTTCTCTCTCTCTCTCTCTCTCCCTCCTCTCTCTCTCTCTCGGTGCAACTGATAATCCATCACGATCGATCCAGCATCAATTTTCTTACAGGCGGCGTACATCACCAGATCGCCGCCCTCTTCACCTCCCTCATCTTCGTCTTCTTACACTTCTCCCTCCTCTTACACTTCTCCCTCTTCGTACAGCATATCTATCTATCTGCCTTGTTAATCTTTCCCTTCAGTGTTTCCATTTTCTCTCTCTAGCACTAAGTGTGATATGTAAGAGGGTCTTTAGTACTCCTCGAACACTAGTGCTCACAGACGGAATACACACAGAACGAAGACGGCCACGGGATAGGGTGAAGTGTAAATACTAAATATCAGGGCTTTGTGGTCATGGGTTCCCACAGATTTTCAAATCAATCAACGACTCCAGGAGTGCATCTACTGGTTTTACGGTTTTTCAAGTTTTACGTTTTCGAAGGGCCCCAAAAGTTGTGAGGTCAACCCCCCACTATCACTTTTGAGTCCTAAAAAAGCAACGTCAACCAAACACAAAAAAGAATAAATAGCATCGTCAAAAACTGCAAAAATTCTCTCGAAACCCGTGTACCGATGTAAGAGGTTATAGATATCAAACCTAACTAAATAGGTTTTTCGTTCCCGGATCCCGGGGGCCCAATCGATCCCGTCCAGTTTGATCTAAAGACGGCTTGCCTACCAAGCCATCCCGCCTGCTGGATGTCAGATATTTTGTATTTGAGTACTATATACATGCGTCGGAAATATTTCCGCAAAAGGTCTGGGATAGTATAGTATACCTTAGTTAGTACACACGAGTCACATGAGGCTCTGATGATGAACTGCACCTTCCGTTTTTGATAACCAGACGGCTCAAGTTCATGGCATCAAATCGCCGGATTCTATATTTCTTTGCTTTTTTCTTTTCTTACGGAGTTCTTCTAGTCGAGCATCTGATTCAAACATCCGCGACCTCCACTCAGTCTCATTATGTCCGCGCATAGCTTCCCTGGGCAGATGCGGCGCAGAATCATCATCGCCACCGTCCTGTTGACCGCCATCACCATGGTCTGGAAATCGTCAGCTTTCTCATCGGACTCTAGCATGGTCATCAAAGTCCCGAAGCTCCTCGGTACCGTCTCGCTGCCGCAGCGCTTCGGATCGACGTCGGACCTCTCTTATCTTGCTCCGCATATCAAAAGCTCCTCTTTCACCTACGCCCACCGCAGTATACGTACGAGATATGTCTCTGGGGAGCGATCGACCTTGTCACAGATCCCAGAGCCTCTGCTGGGAGCACCTTACGTACTCTCCAAAAACAACCTGACCGCCTTGCGGATCGATACCCCTTCGGTGCTCACACTCGAGGTTCCGAAAACTCCACAGGTCGATACGTCCATTCTTTCCTTCGGCATCGCCACTAAGCTTGCTCGCCTCGAACAGGCACTTGCTCAGTTAGAGTACTGGCTTCCCGCTTCAGGTGCGCAGCTGCACGTCTCGATTCCGGGTTCTTCGAGGCCATCCTTCGCCTCCGAGTCCCTTACCACGGAGCAGCTCTACCAGCATGCCAAAATCAATATGACCCTGCACATGGACGACAAGCCGTTCGCAAAGGCCTACTTCGGTCTGATCAAGACTCTGTACGAAGCCCGAGCGCCCAATACGCAATGGCTTGTATTGATAGACGATGACACTTTCTTACCCTCGCTACCGTACCTCGTACATCACCTCCAGTCGAGTTACGATGTGAGCCAACAAGCGCTGGTGGCAGCGCTGTCAGATAACTTCAATCAGGTCCGTGCGTACGGACTCATGCCTTTTGGCGGCGGTGGAATCTTCATATCAATGCCTCTCGCGGAATTTCTTGTGCAGAGGGAAGTCTGGGACAAATGTCTGGAGAATCCAAAAACAGAGGGAGATCAAATCGTGCATGACTGCTTGAACGGCCATTCTATCATCCGTCCTGCCCATGATGCCGGGCTACAACAGATGGATATACATGGTGACCCATCAGGCTACTTTGAAAGTGGCAGACGGCTACTCACCATCCATCACTGGAAGTCATGGTACCACGTGGATATCCCACTTTCGATCAATGTCTCGAAAGCCTGCGGTTTCGAATGTCTGTTCCAGCGATGGTCCTTTACCGACAACATTGTTCTGAGCAACGGATACAGCGTGGTTGAGTATCCTAGTGGATTCGGTGGGTTGCAACTGAGTGAGGTGGAACTTACCTGGGATGGCGAGTGGAAAGATTATATTCACCATATGGGCCCTTTACGAGCACGCTTGGACCGGGAGAAGAAGAGATCTGCGAGACTTGTCGAGAGCAGTGTCTTGGATGGGATAGGTGTCAGACAGATCTATGTCGATAAAGCGGAGAATATGAATGGAGAGATGGACCGAGTTGTGGAACTACTGTGGTTGTTTTGAGTCTTGGAACCCATTTCAATGTGGCAGTGGCGGAGTGATCGGTTGGTAACAGATGGAGCTGGCTCTATTTAATACCAAGGGAGTTAATAAAGGAATCTTCAGATGGGTTTGCTGGTATGCTAGCACTAATTCTCCAGAGGTACTAGGCATTGTTCCCGCGCATTCTACAATCTATCAGCTCTCCTCGCAATCGCGGGATGGGAAAACCAAATGATATACACGCTAGCTATGCTAAACTATGCAGGGCAGATATGAATATCTAATAATAACTATTGAAGTCGGGACCAATGCAACAAAGACTATCGAGTCTACCATCATACCTCTTGTCAGGTTTCATACTCACAAAGAACGCCATACCCTTCCGATCCATGTCATACTCTGTCATCACAACCCCTTGAGGATCTCATCTCATCCCCTCACATACCTTCCCATGCCGGGGACCGGAGCCATCATCAGCTCCACCATTGCAAGATCCAGTTCAAGATTCTCCTCATCCTCCATTCCCGGATCAGAGGTCGTAGCGAGGCCAAAGCCAGCCGAGTCGACGCTCCAGGGCTCAAAGGGGACCAGGTCAGGAGCACAGGTTGTGTCTGGGGCGGGCAGGGTCCCGTCCTGGAAGTAGGACCTGATGGTGCTGGCCGTGCATCTTGACGGGGTGGAAAGAGTGGTGTGCTTTTTTTGGGTAAGGGGGCTTGTAGTTAGTAGGCTGTGCAAGGAAAGTGGATTGAGTCGAGGAATGAGAAAGAGAAGTTTGAGGAATGGGAAGGGAAGGGAAAGGAGGGGAGGGGGAAGGAAGGGTGTTGACATACGCCGTAGGAGTCCTGGATCATGACTACCGAGCCTGGGAAGCCGGCTGCGTTGGCGAGGGCACTTCGTAAGGGGGTGACGTTGTCGGCGGTGTTGGCTATGAAGAGGATCGGGTGGGAGGTGTTGGCTTCGAAGGGACCTTTGGCCTTTTTGTCAGTAGGTGTATTTCATCTTTTCCTTCTCTTCCTCTTCATTTTTTCCTTTCTCTTCTTTTTTTGGGAGAGGGAGGCGGTTGAGTCCATATGAGAGAAGGGAGGAGATGTCAAATAAGTACGTACCACTGAACCTCCACTTTGCTTTAACCTGCCAACCCACGCAACCCATGACCAAACTCGCCATACTCGCTCCCGCGGCGGCGCTGAGTCTAACTAGCTTATCGACATAAGTCACGAAGTCGTCTACGCCACCTTGCACTGGATCCAAGTCTGCGCAGAGGATAGCTTTGGAGGCATCTGCACTCCCTGCTCCTTCAGGGTCTCCTGGCGTCGGGTTCTCCGGCTCCGTTGGGATGGTACTTTCGAGCCTGTCATAACAGCGGGAAGGTTCTTCGGCGCCTTGACTCGTCAGATTGACGAAGGGTCTCCCGTCTCCGGACTCCAGCGCGAGGAGCGTGGATGCTAGACTCGGGAAGATCAGCAGCGGCTGGTAGAGCGCGGACGAGATGAGTCGCCGGAGTCCGCTGTACGAGACGATCTCCGGCCTCGGAAACCGGGGGGGCGAGGCCGGGACGATCACCGGGTGTTTCTTGATATCCTCCAGCAGGAGCTCCAGCCGGGCCTCGATGGCCGCCGGGCTCTCGGCGTAGAAGTCGCACCGGTCCGGCCCGGCCCGGTGGCAGAAGACGTAGAAGGCGTCCATGACCCTATCCGTGTCGGTCAGGAAGTGCGTCGACTGGCCAGACACGTAGTCCCGGGCGTCGACGTTCCCGTCGTTGACCATACGGCCGACGCGTTCCGGGAACATGCTCGCGAAGGTCACGCCGAGGAAGGTGCCGTAGCTGAAGCCCCAGTACTTCAGCTTCGGCTTCGCCTCACCCGCGGGCGCGAGCTTCTCTACCATGTGCAGCATGTCCCGCGCGACGGGCGCCGTGTTGACGTAGGCGCCCACGTCTGAGATCTGGGAGAAGCACTGCTGGGAGAATGCGGTGGCGTACGCGTAGGCGTCGTAGATCACGCCTGGGTGGGCGTCTAGCACGGGCGGCTCAAGAAGGTCCCAGAGGTAGGGGCTGGGAGATGGGGAGCTGGCGCTCGCGTTCCAGCAGGAGACCTGGGGGGTCGTGAAGCCGACGCCGCGGGGGTCGAAAGATACTATGTCCTGTGCCGGATTTTCAGTACTTGCTTGGAGGGAAGAGAATGGAGATGGGATGGATGGGGGTTGCCAACGTGGTTTTTCCCGATGATGGATTGGTAGTAGGGAGCTAGATGCCTGACGAACCAGACGCCGGATCCGCCGGGGCCCCCGGGGTTGATGAAGACGGGTCCAGCGTAGGATGTCAGATCTGTGGCGTTGTATCTGATGATAGCGATGGTGGCCCTCCGCGGGTCTGACGGGTCTAGCCAATCGAGCGGGACCTGGTGAGGGTCAGATATTTTGTGTTCTGTTTACTTTCTGGCGAAAAATAAGGGGAGGAGTATTCACTTCTAAGCGAGCACAGTCGTTATTCCCACCGTAACATCGATACCAAACGATCTCGCTTGATGACGCGATCTATCTCCAATCAATCAATCAGTCTTTCTCTCTCTCTCTCTCTCTCTCTCTCTCTCTCTCTCTTTCTTTTCACCCACAACAAGCTCGCTCGGTAACTACTCGAGCGAAAAAAGATGCCCCCCCCCCCTTTTCTTCAAAATAAAAACCCACCTCGCTCCATCTTCTCCACTCCGCACCACCATCACTACTTCTCCCTCTTCTTCCGCCCGTTCTTCCCTCTTCCAGCTCCATCAACCGCATCGTCGCCATGCTCCGGCTATACAGCCACAGAGCGACCACCGCCACCGTCGCGACCACGAGTTTCCCCGCGTGCCACTTCCTCGGCGACTTCGAGCCCGGCTTCGTGGTACTGTTCCGAGGACTCCGGTCACGCGTGCCGTCTCGAGCTGAGGGCTCGCTGCTGCCACCGCCGCTGCTGCTCGTGAGCAGCAGCGGCCGGGTTTCTTCCGGATCCATGATGGTTATGGTTATGGTTATGGTTATGGTGACGATGGTGACGATGATGGTTGGTGTGATTCCTTACCTTACCTTACCTTACGTTACCTTACCTTCTTTACCGCATCGTCTAATCGTCGTCGTCGTCGTCGTCTGATCGTCTTTCGCAAAGATTTCAAGACGAGAAAGGAGAGAGGGAGAAACGCTGTGGAAAGGATTCGTTTTTTTTTTTTTTAGCTCTCTTTCGGTTTCCGAGTTGGGCGGAGCAGCGAAATGTATGTGATGCCGAGGAGGCGGGCTGGCTGGCTGGCTGCTACGTACTACGGTACGTACTTAAGTAATGAGTACCTAGGTACCTACAGCTACTACTTACTATCTTTCTTATCGCTCCAGGGGTCATGTGTTATGCGTTGTAGCGAAAGTATAATTTGGCGGTAACTGTACAGTACCGGTACCTACAAAGGCTTCCTACAGGGCTTTGATCAATGAACCTACCTAATTGTAGTTATACGGAGTAGTAGGTAGTTGCATAATAATCCAGCCGTGAAAAGGAATCTAGCAGCCCAGCAAAGAAATGTTGTGGAGGTACCGTACTCACTCCTACTAAGTCTACCCAATTTTTTTTTAATTTTTTTTTATCTCTGGGTGGTCAGCAGTCAGCAGCAGGCATTACCTACCTAGTTTTCAATGGGGCGAGACGGACAGGCAGGGGGATCTCTGCATAATACGGTCGGTATGCTTCGAGTCGTCGATACGAAGTACTACGTACCTATGGTACTGCAACCTTCTCTGCATTCCCAGCTCGGTGCAAACATTCTGCGGACGGATTGATCTGTGTTTGGCTGGTAGAGCCTTGTGATGAGTAAGAATTCAAAATACTTTAGGCTGATCGAGAGAGAGATGAGTGATCTCGCGAGTTGAGTGGAGAGTCGAGGCGCTGGCTGGCTGGCTGGCTGGCTGGTCTGATATGGATAAGAGAGCGAGAAAGAAAAAAGAATTGAGCTTTGCTAGGTCGAGGACGAGGACGATCAAGGTAAAGGCAGCCGGTTCACATACACTAACTACTACATTGATGGTATTATAGAAAGCGATTATCTACCCCGCATAGTTTCTTTTTCCCCTATCGGCGGTGTTTGGTCTTGAATAATAATCATTGGGTAGTAGGTAGATATTTCCAAAATCATCCAGACTCAGCGTTGGAACTGCTCACACTCCGCTCCTGTCCCTCAATCCAAACACCGCTCTTGCCACCTTCCTTTCTCACAACCCTCAACCCTTCAACGCGCATCCCTTTATCAACGGCCTTACACATATCGTACACCGTCAGCGCCGCCACGCTAGCCGCAGTCAGCGCTTCCATCTCCACGCCCGTCTTGCCATCGCATTGGACCGTGGCGGTGATTTCAACTCTCCCAAACGCCACATCGGTCTCTCGGCGTTGATTGGAAGATGGAGAAGAAGGGGGATTGGAACAGGATCGGGTGGGTGAAGTTGAGGTGGAGGGAGAGGTGGGTGTGGAGGAAGAGGGCGGAGTGTGGAACGGGTAGGCGTCACCTTGGCCAGTTCCTTGCCAGGGAACGCTACTCCTCTCTTGCTTCTCCTTCTCTATTACGCCCACATCCTCCTCCCCTTTCTCAACATTCTCTTCCTTAAAAACCTCCAGCTCGACACCAACATGCGTAATCGCAATCGGATGACACAGCGGTACAAGCTCGCTCGTCCTCTTGGCGGCCATGATCCCCGCTATCCTAGCTACAGAGAGCACGTCGCCCTTCTTCATCTTGTTGGCAAGAATGAGCGGTATGGCAACGGAGTTCGAGAAGTGGAGCGTGCAAGCGGCGGTCGCGAGACGGGTTGTTGACGACTTGTGAGAGATAGGGACCATGTAGGCGGTGCCGGAGGGGGTGAGGTGCGTGAGTTTGGGGGGATCCCGAGTTGGTGGAGCGGTAGGAGAAGTAAAAGGGGCTTTGGTGAATGTGGAGGAGAAGCGAGGCTGGCTCGTTAATTGGGCGGGAGAGAAAAGATGTGTTGGAATCCGTGACCACGGTGAAGCACAGCTTCGAGTAGGGTTGCTGGTCTTCACAGATGCGTGTGAAGATTGTCTTGAAGCATGTGTTGGATTCGAGTCACCTGGGACACGATTAATGAAGGGCTCAAGATACAGGATGTCGTAAGATCATCCATTCATGTACATGGTTACATACACTCATCCATGTCGGGCATACCTCACAGAATCGCCTGCTCAAGCAGTCGCAGATCCTCATATGTGAAATTTGGACGTGTAGATGGGAGGCCTACCCACCTATCAAGATCATCGGCCTGTTCTTCATATTCTCCAGCTCGCCCATGCCAGCATGCTTCTCCTTCTTGCCCTTCACCGCAAGTCCAATCACATCCAGCAGTTCTCTCTCGTGTTCCGTGCCTCCCAGTGGGTCTATTACCGTAGAGAGCCCTTGCTGTCTGTCCATCTCGATTTGCTTCATCGCCTCCAACGCCGATTCATCGATAGGGTTGCCATTATTTGATTTTCGAAGTATATCCCGTAGCGAGACTTCCGCATTTCCAAAGAGACAAACTTTGAGGTTCCCGTCACTGGTAATTCGCAGCCTATTGCAGCTCCCGCAAAAGTTATGCGTCATACTCGTAATGAAGCCCATCCTGCCCACGAATCCCGGAATCTCATACGTCTTACTTGTATCATTCTTGTGATCCTGCACCTTTCGCAGCGCGGGATACTTCTCGCGTATCATATCCAGCATCTCCTTGTAACTCAGCATCTTACCCTTACTCCATTTGTTCCCGTCAAACGGCATGTACTCTATGAAGCGGACTTCAATGTCTTGTTCCCGGCCGAGCTCGACGAAAGGGATGATCTCGCGCTCATTCATGCCGCGCATCACGACGCAATTGACCTTGAGCTTGATGCCAGCGCCGACCTTATTCAGTTCAAGGATGCGGGAGATGCTTTTCATGACAGCTTCGAAGCCTTTGCGGCGGGTCATTATTTGGAACTGCCAGGGGTCGAGAGTGTCGAGGGAGAGATTGACGCCGGTGAGGCCTGCTTCGACCATGCTGTCAAGCTTTCGGTGAAGGGAAATGCCATTGGTTGTCAGACAGAGCTCTCTGAGTCCTTGGGATCGTAGAGAGCCGATTCGATGCATAAGTGGGAGGATGTCTCGCCGGACTGTGGGCTCGCCGCCTGTCAAGCGGATCTTGGTGACGCCTTGGGAGACGAAGGTCGAGGACAAAAGGAAGATCTCGGGGGTCGTCAGAAGATGCTGGGGAGGTGATTGAGGTACACCTTCCTCGGGCATACAGTACAGACAGCGGAGGTTGCATTTTTCTGTTATGGAAATCCGCAAGTAGTCGTGTTGACGCTGAAAGGTGTCGGTGAGGAAGGCAGAGAAGGGTTTGGCGGCTCTGAGGGCTCTGAGGGCTCTGAGGGCTTCTCTTCTGGGTTGGACTGGAGTTTCGAGAGGGCCATCACGGAGGAGGTGACGAGGGTATTCCTGGATTGCTGAAGCTACAGAGGCAACTCCCCTTCTTGAAGCTCCTCCAAGTAATCTAGATCCGGATATCTTGTTGATGTGGCGGGAGGGGTTTGCGGTCCGAAAGGAGATTTTAGCCATCGTTTTTGCTGGCTTTGATTATGTAGAAAATTATGTTATGTAGAAAAGAGGCAAAACATCTCGAAAGATTTTTTCGGGTCATGAGAAATGGGACAGTTACCTTGGGAGTGGGTGGTTAAAGGAACACACGAGATGTTCGTAGTATGGATAGATGTATTCCGTCCATGTAGTGGGGGGATTAAGTATTACCCGCAGCCGCATCACCTCTTATCGCTTGCTTATTTACTTATCGCTGTTTGTTTATCGCCGTTTGCTTATCGCCGCCCCCGGTCCGATGCAGATGTGGCTCCCTCTGGGCCTCGGGGAAAGTAAACAATGCAATCAATCACCCTGAAGACCGTCGACGACATGGAACCACGAATGCGGTTCTCCCGCTCCTTCAAGTGTAGGACCTTCTCGTAAGCGAACTTCTTACTGTATCTAACATATCTGCAATTACCAGCATCCACCCAATCCCTCCCGAGCCCAGACGGCGCATACATCGCCACGATTCTCCCTTCTAAGCTCAGCATCCGGTGTACGCGCTCGTTGGACATCACACGCGTTGTGTCGCTCCCTGCCGAGCTGGCAGCATCGGTCTCATGGTTCCTGTGGTCTGCGTCCTCGGCACGAATACTCTTGGCCTCTCCAGACAATATCCGGGTGTATTCAAGCCTCGACTCCCAGTTTTCTGCTACTCTCACGAACCCGACATCTGGAACGACAAAGGCTACACATGTGGCATTCGGAGCAGACGACAACGAGATCTGTGTTTTCTCGGACTTTGGAATCAAGTTGTTGATCTTCAATTTGGTGACTTCCAAGTCAGTGGAGATCAATTCGCCCAAATTTTACAATCCAGGCTCTGCTCCGAAGGGAATGTCATATCGACCTGGGACTGGAAACCTGGCGCTTCTAACGAGGTGTGGTGGGAAGGATGTCATCAGCATCCATTCGCGAGGGGCTCTAGATGTAACGAGGTCTTGGTGGCCGGAGACTGTTGATGCGCAAGGAATTCAATGGAGCGCTGATGGGAGGTGGCTCGTGGTCTGGGAATCTGCATCGCAAGGCCATCGACTGCTGGTTTACACTGCAGATGGGCATCTGTTCAAGGCCTGGAATGGCCCGATGCCGATGTCAGAGGAGGATGTTGACCTTACGCTGGGTGCTGGAATCAAGCTGTTTCACTGGGGATGTAATGGGCAGCATATGGCTGTTGGGGATTACACAGATAGAGTGACGATCTTGTCTGCTCCTTCGTTCTCGGAGAGCATGATCATTACCCACACAGCGGATGTGAAGCCGACGGGATCTCTCCAGGTGAGCAGAACTGGCCTTACCGAGGGACTTTGCTGACATCACAGATCTGGCAAGAAAAAATCACCCCGTCGCCGAATGGCTTCTCGCGCGAATTCGTCGCAGCAACACAAACGGTGTGCCCCCCAACATCCGCGTCAAGCCCCCCGAACAGCATCGAAGCCAAAACGGGCACGAACCTCCTGTCTCTCGATCACTCCGGCACACTGTTGGCAACGCGAACAGAGAACATGCCGACAACCATCTGGATATGGGATATTGGATCACGCATACTCCGCGCCGTCATGATCCTACATGTCCCCATCGCCAAAGCCAGTTGGCACCCCTCCATCCCCGAAGTCTTGATGATCAGATGCGAAGGCGACGAAGCGCGCGGCCTCGTACACGTCTGGGAACCTTCCTGGACACAGCCCAGAATCATCGACTTCGCCCTACACATCCCCGGTGGAAAGCTCATTGGCAAGACGATCTGTCGGTGGCTGAACACCGGCGGTGCCAGCGCAGCAATGCTCTTTAGTGATTCTCAAGATTTTATATTGGCCTGCCTACCGGACTCGGACGACGAGGAACCTCCATGGGAGGCTGGGTCGCGAGGCAATAGTGTCTGTGATCAGCAAGGTGAGAGCCCGTTGCTCCTTGTACCTGCAGAGAATGAGAGAGGCCGCGTCGCGATTGATAGTCTGATTGAGGACGAGGGGGAGACATTCATGAGTGGTGGCAGCGAGGAGGTGGAAGATACGTTTCGGTTCCGCAAATTCGTGGCGCCTGGGTTGAACGGTTAACCGTGAACCGTTAATTATTAACTGTCAACCATCAACCGTCGGCCGTAACCGTCAGCCGTTAACCGTCAACCGTCAACCGTGAAGAACCGTCAACCGTGAACCGTGCTAAATTGGACTCGAGCTGGTATACCCTACAGCAACAATTGATGACGAAGAACAAGGCGAGGGCGGTGGAAGGCGGCGAATCTTCCTCAAGCCACCCTGGTACTCAGCCACTCTCTCTTGGCGTTGAAGATCTCGGGTCGGATGAAGCACTCCCAAGGTGCAAGGTCGGTGGGTACGCGAGAGTGGGTGTAAACAGACCACGAGAGCATAAACAAATGGATTTTGGGGGGGGTTTCTTCTTGGGTCTGGCAAGTGTTTGTTTGGAAGATGGGTCGTGCTCAGAAAACCTATTCGAAAAATACCTATACTACTGGAGTAGGTACCATAGTACCTAGTACTATGTCGGCGCAGCCTTGGTACGTACGAATCAGCTCCCGTACGAATCAAAAGCTCCCGTGACGCGTTCTGACCCTGACCGGCAGAAACACACCTTACTCCAAATAGACCTGACCGCCTGCCTCTCCTGGTCCGTCGCCTACTGGCTTCTTGGGGTACATGGGGTAGTCTAGCTTGATCCGGGTAAGCTGGGTAGCTAAACCTTCCCTCCCGCCTTCACTACTCGGCATCTTCCGTACATCTACATCTTCCTATAAGTCTGAGCTCACATCACCCATCCATCACACAGCTCATGCCATTGCATTCTTGCATTTCAATCCACCTTCGACAGCTCGGCTCAGTTGATCGTGTTGGTCGACCCAGTAATCTACAGGGCACTTGCAGTCACGGATCGTCACACAGCCTTCCTTCTTCCTCTTGTCTTGCGCAAACTAACTCCAACAACCAACAACAATGGCAGCAGCAGTAGCAGCAGCAGCAGCAGCAGCGTCCCTCAACATGGACTCTCTCACAAAAAACGCCTCCTCGACCCTGTCCTCCATCACCGCCCACCCCTTCTACCCGCTCGAGGTCGAGATTGCCGCCTACCTGGCCAACGAGATGACCATGGAGATGCTGCTCGGCATCTTTACGGCGGGCATCGCGACCATCATCCTGGGCACGCGGTTTGTGGTCGATCGGGCGCACCCGATGCTACCCACGAAGGAGAAGCTTGCCATTTGGTGGTTTGTGATTTGTATGTTGTCTGCTGCTCTCCCAGTCTTGGAGCACTTGATCCCAGTGGTGGTGATACGCTGGGTGGGCAAATGGGAAGCTGGAGCACAGGCGCATGGTTGGGGAGCTCGTTGGCCAATGGAGAGTTTCTGCTGACAGAGGACTTCGCAGCTGGCACAATCCACCTTTTTTTCGAAGGATACTTTTCCCTAAACCATAGGACAATGGGACCAGCGCAAGACCTGTTCGGGCAGCTGTGGAAGGAATATGCGCTCTCGGATTCGAGATACTTAACTTCGGACCCCTTTGTGCTCTGCATGGAGACTGTCACGGCTGTACGTCCCATGTCCATTCCAATCTCCCCCACCCCCGTCAAGTGCTGACCAAGAGGTGAACAGTTCACCTGGGGCCCCATGTGCGGCGTCATTGCCTACATGATTACCGCCTCACATCCGCTCCGCCACCCCCTCCAAATCATCGTTTGCGTTGGCCAAATGTACGGGCTCGTTCTGTATTACGCTACCGCCATGTTCGACCACTACTACAGGGCAGCTACGTACAGTCGCCCGGAGTTCTTGTACTTCTGGGTATACTTTTTTGCTGTCAACTTTATCTGGATGGTTATTCCCGGATGTACGTAGCCCTTACCATGCATGTGTTTCTCGATGTGGTATGGTACTGATGCGCAATAGTGCTGCTGATCGACAGCGTCCGAACTATTGCTCGCATCACAGCTGCATTTGATAAGGTGGCCAAGAGCCTCGCGAAGGTGAATGGCAACGTGAAGGGGTCGAAGAAGGAGATATGATGTTGGACGGTGTGGCGGACGCATACAAAATCTACACTTGCTAGTTAGGTGAAGGATCAGACCGAGCACACGGAGCGCGAGCGATGCATTTCTGGAGCCTCCGTGGGCTTGATAAATATAGATGCGTATTTTTGGAGATACCAAGAGCGAGAGAAACAGAACGGTAAGATTTCTGTGGGGAGGGGAAGCCGGTTCAAGATATCGATGGCTTGTGTCCTTAGAGTATTGAGTGGCTGTCTGGTGCCTAATTAAATAGAAGCTCTTAGACGTTGAGCTTCCTTCTTATTGACTCGGCTTTTATGTCTTCCTCGGTTGATAGCGAGCGAGTAAATGGTTTAATCTGCGTTTCCATTGCGTTGTAGAAGACGAGTGAGCGAGCGGCTGTATATAGGAGTTTGGCTCCAGGCTGTGTTGCGAAGGGATTGTATGGAGGGTTGGTTATAGATAATGCTGAGGATGGAGGGCTGGGACAGATGTCCGAGAGTTCGTCTATCCGCTGGCTATTGAAGCAATGTGGTATAATTGTGAGGTGGCCCGCGAGAAATTGGATTTTTAATGTTCGCTCGGTATATCTTCGGTACCAGGTAGGTGGCTCGTGTCGATCTTGTAGATGCACCTATTCCTCTTTTAGATGGCCCTTTGGGACCTCCACCAAACATCGTGAGCCCCGATGCTGTGCATGCAGAATTGAACAAGCCAACAAAATATGAAAAAAACTGTGCCTCTTCCTCTCCTCATCGCAATTCCTTTGCCAACTTCGCCTGTTCCCTGCCCGGACCAACAGGAGCAGAACACGACACAAACCAGCTAGCTAGCCCCCAGAAGCTAATCAAAGAGGGAACGAGGAGCTCGGACACTTTCCAGACCGGCGTTGCTGCACCAACGCCGATTTACGAATCAGCAACTGGAGAGAAGCAACAGGCCTGGACGGGCGTCCTACACAGACACGCAAGAAAGGAGAGAAACAATCCGGTCGACTGAATTTGGCTGTGCGCAAGGCAAGACAAGATAAGATAGGACAAGACAATTCGCTCGTCATTCCCGTCGCCGTCGCATTCGGGTCGCGGGATCTGATTCTGGATCTGGATCTGTCGTGTGAAGGTATCTGAAAGAGGCCGCCGCGGGAGGTCCGATGAGAAGGGATAGGAAAGGGAAGTGGGTTCTATGGTATGTTTCTGCTGCGATGCGATCCTTTGACTGTCGGGGATGGTGGCAATTGCCCATGGGGATGCAAATCAGACCGGAGGGAAATTGTTGCCATGGAGTAGGGGAAGCAGGGCAGGAAAGAAAACAAACAGACCGACTGAAAATCAACTACTAATCCGCACCTTCCTTTTTCTCACAGACCTCTCAATGGCGAAATCAACCGCATCCTCGACTTCAATAAAAGAAGACGACACCCCGAAAACACCAGCCAAGCGGAAACCCAATAACGACGGCAGTAGCAACAAACCGACCAATGTTCCCAATGGCGCCCTCGCCGCAGCCATCATGCGAAAGGCCTCATCCCCTCAAGTCGCCAGCCCTCGAACGCCCCTGCGCAAGCACTCTACGCAGCCGAACCTCAAGACCCCCAACTCGGCTCCGGCGCGCGCGAGAAAGGCTCCCGAGCCGACACTGCTAGGCGATTTCCTGCTGGGGAGACCCAGTCCGGCCCGGCAGAGGAACAACGGCATTGGAGCGAAGAGACGGCAGAGTCTCGATGCTGTGAAGCGTGAGATGCGCGCGGAGGTTGTGGCGCAGGTGAGAGCGCCAGGAAAAGTCAACGATCGGGTCAAGGAATGGCAAAAGCAAAGTCGCGGAGCGGGGAAGGGGGAGCAGCCGGAAGAGATTGTGGTGGAGTATGAGACCGATTCTGAGGTTGGAGGTGTTCCGGTACAGGAGAAGATTGCTGCGCCGAAGCAGAGGCTGAAGCGGAAGTCCAGGACGAAGCCTCCTGACCATGGAGACGACGATGAGAGGGGGAGGGGCGCTACTCCGGATGATGGGGAGGATAGGCGTAGAGAGAGGAGTAAGAGCGTGGCGCCGAAGAAGAGGGTTATTAGCGATGACCACTGGATGATGAAGAAAAAGAAGAGTCCGAAGGGGAAAGGTGCCAGCATCCCGAAGAACTTCCTCAAGGTAACCGCAATCAATCCGCCTTTCGAGAAGAAGATTGAGGATTGGGTGAAGCGGATGGAGGATGAGCCTGCGCCGGTGCTGGAGAAGCCGCGGAGCAGGAGTAGGAAGGTGCTGGAGAGGGATGTGGCAGATGGAGCGAGGAAGGCCGAGGAGCCGAGAGCGTGGAGGGTGGAGAATTTGATGCCGGGGGATGACGGGATCCGAGTTAAGCCTATGAAGGTCAGACCTGATAGGCAGAGGGCGTCTTCTACTCCGAGGGTGAAAGCTGCCGCTTTGCAGGATGATGGGATTCGAATTAAGCCTATGAAGGAGAGACCTGACAGGGAGAGGGCGTTCTCTACTTCGAGGGTGAAAGCTGTCGCTTTGCAGGATGATGGGATTCGAGTGTTTGCTCCGAAGACCTTTCCGAATGATGACGATGGCATTAAGGACAAACTTGCGAAGGGTAGACCAAGCAAGGAACGAATGGCTCCTGTCTCCAAGGGGAAAGTTGCTCCGCAGGATGATGGTATTCGGGTCACTGCCTCAAATACCAGCTTTAACGACGATGGCATCAGGATACGACCCTCTAGAGAATCTTCTCCCCAGTCAGATCTGCGGATAAAACCTGTCCGAAAAGATGGGAGCAAGAGACGTCCGAAGGAAGAGGGAGAATCGCCCACTCCGACCCCTAGAAAGAAGAGCAAGCAACACGTCAAGCCATCTTCTGAGACTGAAACGGGAGCTCGAGTCACTTCCCATGGAACGGCTTCGTATCGCGACGAGGATATTGTATCCCATGTCACTCCAGCTCCTCGCCCGAGATCCAGCCGTCGAAGCCAGAAATCGGAGACCCCAACCGAAACTCTGGATGAGATTCCATTCGGCAATTCTGCATTCAGTGTACTCGATCTACCACTCGGTGCCGAGGCCAACACTATGAGACGGTCTGAGTCGAAGCGAACTCCTAGTTTCTCTGCCGTTGTACCCAAAGTGTTGAAGCGGGTGTACACTGAAGGCAAGAAAATGATGCAGGATACTGCTGAACCACCCAGAGGAGGGATAAACCAGCCTCCCAGCATTGACTCTTGGTTAAATGGTACGGTGGACCCGCTTGCTGAAGAACCAGTAGCCCAGCCAGACACCCTCAAAGTGCCCACAGCTCCAGTTTCGAGGTTGCCCAGCAAGAAAGAGGGCGATCGAGCAGAAAAACATATTGAGCCTGGCCCGGAGCGCAGTGAGCAGAAACATCAAAGTAACAAGCGAAAGTCTTGGGAGAAAGAAGAGAGCCCACGCGTTAAGTCCCCTGGTGAGGCCAGGGATCGCAATACCCTGCCAAGTATGGAGAATTCTCCGCCTGCTTCCTCGTCTGGCTTGAGAAGAAGCCCGGCTACTCGTAATATGTCCTCGCCAAAGTCACCACGGAAGCTGACCCTGAAAGAGGCTGTGCTCGACGCTTTCAAGGGCGAGTCGTCGGTAGCAAAAAAGGATTCTCCGAGTCCCTTTGACTTCATTGGAATGAGAGATCGTGATGTGAACCGGCTAGAGTCTGTTGCTGAAAATCCACCCCCAAAACGCACTCCTCGAGTGGACGAGGACCCAACTTCTCAGCAACCAAATCTGGAGAGAGCGTTGCCCTCGTTCCCTAGACGGCTGGCACCAACTACTGGCAATCATAGGCTGTCCACCATTGCTTCTGTTGAGACATTCAGAACTGGAACGGAATCATCGTTGACAGAGACGTCCGCACCCTCTGAGCTCACCCAAACAACACTCACGCAGAGCAGTGTGCTCACTGGAACCACTGCTTCAACCCTCTCGCAGACGACTGCGTCTTCGTCTTCTCTCTCGCGTACCACGGGCACCAGTCTCTCCAGACATAGCAAAGTCTCCACCAGCAATCGTAGCAACAAGAGTAACAGCGGGGGACTCAAGAGGAGACTCACCAAGCATTCTGATCTGGTCTCGATGCTCTCTCTGCCAGACTCGGAAGTACCAGGTCGTGGGCACAGCATCAAGTCGGCGCGGAGTATCCGAACCACCAAGGCAAACCTCGAGACGGCAACTGTCCAGGATATCTTTCGAGAACTTGCAGACGACGAGGCCAAATATATGCGGGAACTGAACACGCTCGTCGACGGGGTGATCCCGGTGCTTCTGACGTGCGTGTTATCAAAATCCGAACTTGCTATCGCTACTGGTCTTTTTGACCCACTCGCTAGCTCCACCGACAACCTCCAAACGAAACCCATTGTTGACATGGGCGTCGCGCTCGAACGACTCAAGAGCCTCCACAAACGCATCCCTCTCACTGATCCCCTAGACTTTATTCGCTGGGCTGAATCAGCTGTCAAGACTTACGAGGATTTCATACACGCCTGGCGCTCTGGGTTCGAGGACGTCGTTGTTAATCTTGCCCCTGCGTCACGTACCGACTCGATGGCCGTGGAGTCAGATCGGGACAAGATGAAAATCGACAAGCACGGCGATGTTCTGCGCGATACAGGAGAGAGAGCTGATGTGGGGTATATGCTGAAGAGACCCCTCGTGCGCACCAAGGGGCTGGCCAAGGCCACAAAGGTTTGTTTACTTCCGACGTGAACTTTGGCAACGCTAATATTTGTGTAGGGATTTGCGATGATTCTTGGTACAGAAAAGGCCGAAGCTACAAGAGACAAATACGAAGAATTGCAGGCCCTGCGCCGACGACGAGTTGAGGAAGAGAGTGCCAGAAAGGAGGACCTGCGCGCAATCAACACGGATACTAGCCGCGTTCACGACCTCAGAACGATGTCGCATGTGAAGGGTGTCACGATTTCCCGCCACAGAAACGTGATGATGAAGGATGTTTTTGATCTAGAGATATTTCACTCCAGCGGCGAACAATACGTGTGTGAAACAGAGATCACCTTTCGCTCCGGCAGCTCCAAGATGGAAAATGATGGTGACATTTTGATCTGCCAGACCGACGAAAATGAAAATTTCCTTCTCTTTCCTCCGATTTCCATGAAAAACATCTCAGCACGTCAAGGAGACCGGGACACGGAGCTTGTTGTCATGGTTCGCGGACAAGCTATTGGCATCAATGGCAGGGAGGAATGGTCAGAATGCTTAGTACTTGATGCCGACGATGCACAGATTGCCGGAGAATGGTTGCTCATATTCGGCCTTTACCCTATCCCGCCGTCTATCAAACAATACACGCCTATGCTTGATCCAGAGCTTGAGACTGTCCTTTCTCAAGCTGGTGATGACACGAAGAGCATCGTTGGCGCCCTCAAGTCCAAGAGTTCGGACGAGATACCTTTCGGTGAGCGACCTCGGCGGGAAGCTGAAGAGGAAATCAGGGGTGGACAGCCAGGACTCATGCATGCTGCATACAGTTTGCTCTCGAAAGATGCAATCAGTAAGCTTTCGGACGACTGTGTCTTGGACATCGAGGACCTCAATGATGCTATGATGAAGGCTGACAGAAAGTCGTTTCTTCGGCTACCAAAATACGGTTGGGCAACGACTCTGAATTGCGTTATGTCAGGAGGGTTGGATCCATATGCAGTGAATGATGAGGATTCCAGGCCCAGGAGTAGGGACGACCAAGATGACAATGCAAAGAAACCATCAAAATATGACAACATCTTCCTCTCGAAGCGCAGATCGCCCAGTCCCCAGGCACAAACCAACACGCCGTTGAAGGAGGCGATGAGACCGGAGTTGACTTACACGGACAGATATCACGAGAAGATCCCCTCTCAACACGAGGACACTCCACCGCCACCACCCGCTCACAAAACTCCTCCGAGACCGGCACTGAAGCTCACACCAGTTCTCGATTCGCCTACACCCCGTGCCAGAAATCGTCGCACATCATCGCCATTGAAGCACGAGTATCAACCTTCCGAGGATGCCTCAGGTACTTCTTCTGCAGCTGAGGCAACCGAGTCCGAGTCCGGGTCAGAAGAGTACACAACTTCAGAGGACGATTCTGATGATCTCGAAGAGGAAGAGACTAGACCCACTACTGCTACTACCATACCAGTAATCAACGTCACTGAGAAAGCTGCCTCCCGTCCAGCATCGATTTATAATCATCCTAATGCGAGCCTGGCACCGTCCATGTCGGCTTCTCAAGCTCCTCTCAAACCTGTCATTCGACCAGCTGCTCCCCGGCCAGAGACTGCGACGACTAAAATTACTGCCATGATCTCTCACTGGTCGGACTCTGAAGGTAGATGGATCGATGTCTGCGATGGACTCTGCTCTGTTGTCGTTGGACCTGGGCGTGTCGAGGGATTTGACATCGGTTTTGCCAACTCGATTTCCCCAGGGGAGGAATCGTATATCGATCGGAAGCCTACCACAGACTCTGATCCACTGGTTGGACAAGATATCACACCGCACGTCTCTTTACGTCGCAGCACTAAGATCGATATTGAGATCAAGGCACCTCCATCCCCAAGTTCGCGCATGAAGGGCACCAGACTGACACTTCGATACCGGTCAATCAATGCTCATGACTCCGTTGAGCTGTACAAAGCCCTGCATAGCGCCCGCATGGAAAACTTGAAGTTCAAGATTCTTGAGGAGGAGCGGCTCCTGTCCTCATATGGTCACAACTCCCGTTACCGCACCATCCTCCGCAACAAGAGCTTCCGCCGCTCCGAGGCCAGTGTAGCAGCTCTAAGTACAGCCGGCAGCGAGAAAAGCAGTCTCGGTTCGGCCCTCAGTGCTGTCAAGCGTTTCGGCATCGGCGGTATGTTCAACATCGGCAAGTCCTCCCTGCAAGCCGGCGAAGGCAACGGTGGCATCTCCACTTCCTCGTCCGATTATTCAAACATCACACCGCACACCAATGACCCGTCTCTCGCGGCAAACAGCCAAAGCGGCGGCAGTTTGTGGAGCAACGGCGTTACGGTCCACGACCTGGGCTGGCAAGACATTAGTATCCGGCTGTACATTGCCACCAGAGGAGGAAAATGGGATGACCTTGGTCCCGCCCACCTCACCGTCCAGGCTCCGCCTCCGGGCATGAGACAAGCTTCCTCCTTGAATCACGGACCCCAGAAGAGAATCACTGTTACCCAGCGGTTTGGAAATGGCGAGGAAGATGTGAATCTGATCCTGGATTGCGCATTGGGCGCGGACTGCTTCTCCAAGATGGGCCATCGGGGCGTGATTGCCAACGTGTGGGAGGATATTAGGGGCGACAACGGGGTCGTGGGGTTCGCGAGTAGTCGGGGCGGGGTGGCGGGCAGAGTGCGGAAGTGGTGTTTCCAGACGGCCCGGTCAGGGGACTGTCAGTGGATCTACATGCTTTGTCGGAGCGGGCTGGCTTAGGCTTTCTCACGCTACACCGGATCTGGGGGAGAGGCTTCTTTGGTGACTGCATACGGGGTAGGGATTATTTGGTGCTTTTACGATGTCACGGCTCTCTTGTACCATTATGGAGGAGATATGCGCTCATACCTGCGTGGCTGCATCTGGAGGCGGCGGCTTTTTTTTTTACATTGGTTCCTCCTTGTTTGTGTATCTAAGCTAGGCGTTTAGAAGGAGTCAAGGGGCTTAGATATGGTTGGCGTAATGGGTGTGGGACAGTACATCCTTTGGGAGTTGGGGTCTCACATGGGTTTGTTTTTAGGGGGGTGATTGGGGAGCTTGGATGAGATGTAAGGGGATGCATGGGGAGAGGTGGTAGTTGGTTGTTGGAAGGAAGGGTTGTAGTTGAGTAGTTGAGTAATACATATTGTCTTGACTCTGGCTTTCTCAACCCTTCTCTGGATTACAATCACTTCCGCAATGGGGTTTTGTGTTTTGTATTTTGTGTGTTTTGTGTTTTGTTTTGCTTTTTTCTTTTGCATTAAAGGACGAAGGGTTGTTGGGATGTTCTTATGGAATAATTGAGGTTGAGACTGTAGCCTATCAGTGATTGAGCTCTTCGTGGATGGTTGTCAACCTATTGAGGCTAGCCCCGTTTGCAAAGGCTCTACAGGCTCCAAAGGCTTCAAAAGTTCAAATAAAGGTGTATCCGCCAAACCCGCCAACTGGAAGTCCAGTTTTCTATATTCGTGAATGTACGGCACCGGACTCAGGAAGATCCAGTCTTTCCATCCTCGGTGGATCCTTGCATGGATCGGGATCGAGGTTCGGCTTAAAATGATCATAATCACCTTCATTATGAGTATACATCTGCGATATCTCTCTCGAGTTCACCGCCGTGACGTTCATGGACATTACCTAGCCACTAACAAATTCAAGATAGACAGACGGATGCATTTTGATCTTTACCGAGCCCCCTCCTCAGACAATCGGGTGCACTATTAACCGAGCCTTTCTTTTCTTAGGCTGGCCGAGCCCCCGACCACCAATTCACAATAAGCGAATGGAGACGCATAAGTTAGCCGAGGACATTCACTACTAACAACTTTTCCTAACGCAACGATTGAATTTACAAGAGGGGGGGAACTCGGAAACCGAGGGGATAGCGCAGGCGGGGGCTGATAAAGCTTTGCTAACCTGTCGAGGATATCTGAGGGAGGTGAATCATTGTTTATTTGTTTTGGTATTCCAAGAAAGTTTCAGATAACCCTTTTAATTGCTGTTACAGTAGGATCAAATCTAGACCATCGTCGTCATAAGTGCATGAAGGCCGTGATCGATCTAGATAGGCTTGTCTTGAAGCTGGGGACTCGATGAATCAAGTCGGAGTATCATTTGAGTGCTACCGCAGGAGATTTTGGTGGACGTTCTTGCTGCGGTCCCGGTGAAGCATAAATGGAGTTGTAGTCTTCTACTCATCCGTAATGCGCGAAGCCAGCATTAGAATGGCCTTTAATATTCGTTGGGGTCCTGTAGTCCTGAACGAGATTCTGCGTAGGTAGTCAAGGGACGCATTTGGGTATCGTAAGATGCTCTTTAAGGGGAGTGACGTTGTGTAAAAATAGATCTTTCTCGAGTATCGTAAATTTCAGATTCAGCGAAGATCATCACGTAAAGAGGGTCTTGGAACATTTATTTCCCGCAGTGGTTGTTTTGTGCCACGCTAACGGGTACTCCCGCTATCAAAGCCGCACTTACGTAGTACCACTCAGGACCCCTGGAACCTTCTACTGATAAGTATGCCAGGACCGTAACATTAAGTTAAGCATACTTTATGTACACTTTGAGTAAAGCAGAGTCGATGATTTTAAAGCACATATCTTTTGATTTTATAGAGATTTATCCTTGCGCAGCGAACATTTTGCGATCCAGATCGGGATTCTCATTAATTTTCGCTTGAGTTTGGCGGTTTTGAATAGTGTTTGACGCGGGACATAATACTTTCGCCCACTTTAGAGAATGTCTATTAAAGTTGCGACGTCAAGTCCCAGTGTTAGTAGATACGATCACAAGAATGCAAGACTCCGTGCCAATTTAAGGGCTGGAGCACGAAACAACGATCATCGAATTCTTTGAAACCGTCCTCTTGGCTTTTGATGGTTCTAGAAAAGTATTCATATCTCTTTAGATTCTCCCATTTCGATAACAGCTTCAGGTCATCATTTGATTGCAATTAACTATTCATTACTAAACGCTTTCATTTTTTACGAAAAGCTTTCCATCTTTACTATCCTACCCGTCTTCGAACACCTCTTTATTCATCTACCAACTGATCAATATGATATTCACTAGCACTATCGTCGCCGCTTTGCTTACCCTTGCTGCATCAGCAGCTCCTGCCGCTCTTGTTCCTCGATAAGCAGGGACTATCTATCAAGCTATGTCGTATTCCTCGCTTATTCTAGTATTTACACTGCAATTCTCATATATTCGCATAGTAAAACAGTATCAAAATCAATAATTAAAGTAATCTTTCGTACCTTTCCTTTTCATTTGACTCTTAGTGTTATCGTTAAGCTTAGAATCGCTATTATAAGCTGCCGAATCATCTTCGTTTCCTTCTTCGGCTTCGGAATCGATTACAATAGCCGCCGATTGGAGAGCCTTAGCGCGAGGTTTTAATGAGGTCGGGAATTTGGACACGCCAAGCTTAATTGGCGCACGGACCTATACTATGAAAAAGTACATCAAAAGTACGTAGTACCATTTTTAATATCTTAACACAGCACAACAATAAAGCAAATACATGTAATTGGAATTGTAGTACTTGATTATTGTTTGAAACGATACGGTACTTCTTCCCATGCAAGAACATATACGATATAGTTAGTGGTTCATTTTATATAAATTATATAAGAACAAAATCCACTGTCCCGGATCCCTGGGTGTCCTGGGTCCCAGGTGCCGACCTGGTTGCGCCAAGTCGGGGTTTTTTCAGAATTGAATTTAAGGCAGCCGACGATTAGAAATCATTCTTTCTAATCGTGCTATATATTGTGTGTTTTTGTACAATTAATATCTAATATTTATTCGTAAATGCTGCGCCGATAAAAGAGCTAAGGCAAGTTCATTTTAAAATGATACGAGGTCCTGAGGAACGAAGTTGCGATGGTAATATCTTTGAGTTCGGTTTAGAGTACGTACAGATTATGACCAGTTTTTTAGAAATCCGATTAGACGGATTTCGGAGCTGAGTTAACGCAACTTGTTTATTAACAACTGCGTTATCTACACTTTTCGTTAACTTAGTTAAATCGCGCAAGTAATGGAATTTTGCAGCCGAGTTAACTCAACCGGCGTAAAGATGACTCGGGGTCATTCTTTCTAACTATGCTATATACAACGTACGTAATAGTTGTATGTTTTCTACCACTAAAGTTCAATACTTATCCGTAGATGCTGCGCCGGCAAAAAGGCTAAGGCAAGTTCATTTTAAAATGATACGGAGTTCGGAGAAATAGAAGCGCGATAGTAATATATCTCTGAATTCGGTCTAGTATACGGTACGTATCCGTACAGACTACTCGTGCGGCCAGCATATCCGTCCCCATGTCGGAATCATCCCAAATTTACGGAATAGGGTTTCGGAGCCAAAATAACTATATTTACGTATTCCTTCGGTTGGGATACCTGTCTGTCTTTTTACGTAAGAAAGAAATTGCAGCGCTTTGAATCATTTTAAATGAATACGGCATACTTCCAGAGCGCCATGGCTCGGGTTTGGGCAGTACGGAATGGATGAAAGGAGAGACCTTGAACCCCCGTGCCGCGTGCGTACAGTATTAAGGTGTTATAGGAAGCTCGAGATTACTAATCCTAATTTGTTTTTAAGAAGTTTATACAGAGTAGACACCGTGCCGGGTCAAGGGCTGGGGCACGAAACTGTTTCCAGTTGGTCTGCAGATCAGCGATTATCGAACTTTTGAAACCGTCCCTTCCGCTTTTCGTAAGCATCGGTTTTGATCGGCCGATATTTTCCGATGCCTCGGACATAGTAGTAAGTAGTGGAGCACGTTTTCGCATGCCTCAACACTCTAAACTGAATCTCGCTCTATGTCATTTGAAGTGTCTGATTTTTTCAAAGTATCCGATATCCTGGATGCTTGACGATCACAAAGTAAAGGTATCACTCATCAGAATGAGCGCGAAGCAGCGCTATTTCTGATAGCTCAGGACTCCTGTATAAGTCCCTATAAAGGACGTAAATGAAGAAGGGCGAAATTTACATAGGGATAACGGTTGCACCGATGCGGCTTTTGGATACAGCGGCTCTCTTTCATCCTTTAGGCAAGCACGCTAAATACGATGAACAAATCTCCTCTAACATTTGCGTGTAATGAGCTGCTTTCGAGCACATGGTTTCTTGAGAAAGTCAACATTTCCGGACCAGTTTGGACGAGATAGTGACTGGGAGTTGGAACAGAGTGGCTACTAGGATTCGATTGTTAAGTCTACGAAGTGGTTGTATACTGCAGGCAAGACAAATACATACAGGATGTGGTATTTTTCAAGAAAACAAAAGAGCTTTTCAATATTAAGAGATGCGTCATGATAGGCCGTAACGTTTAATGAAGGTCGAATTAAAACTTTTCGATGAACAAAGAACGTTCTGCGCTCAAAACCTAAGGGGTATGTATATGAATGTGTGGAAGTAGTAGCTATTACTACTATTATGCAGGCCAAATAATTACATCTTCGAAGGTCAGACATAAGGACGCCCTTAGTGAGGCATTGGTGGTTCTAATCCTCTCCGAGAATGTGATTGTTAAGGCTTGTATTGAGGTAGTTGTACAGGGTACAAGCAGGTCCGCAGCTCAGCGGTTGTGAAATCTTGAAGCCGTCCATTTCATTGAGGCTTTTGGCAATACCACCGAATTTAAACGTCGGTTCGCTTAGGTGGGCCTCCTTACTACGTATATCCTTTAAGACTGAAAGGAGATAAGAAGGCCCATCTAAGCGAGCCGACGATTACCGTAGGTATAAACTCGACAGAGTGGCGCATAAGGCTGCCAATGATGCATAATCTTTGTTTCCTAACCGATCAGTGCGTTGACTGCGCAAAGAGCAAATTGACCTAGATAAATTAATTATAAAAGATCTACAGACAGGGGCTAGAAGCTCGTGAAAATAAAAAAAGGTAAGAGAAGTGTAGGAAAAGCTGGTGGGCAGCCCTCGATCCCCAAAGTCGCCCCTGGTAAGCTTCAAACCTTCCGAAGAATCTGGATCAAGAAGTAGGCCCTTTGCGCAATCAACGCACTGATCAGTAAAGAAACAAAGATTGCTCTGTGCACGTTAATAGCAGCCTTGGGCGCCACTCTGTCAATTTTTTACGGTACTCGTGCGGCCGGCATACTACCCACAGTACTGTACAGCCCCAATACTACGTACGTAGTAATCACCGTCTGATGGTGGCTCACAAGTTCAAATCTCCACTTTAAACCCACTTGGTTTCCAGGCGGCAATTAATACGCCTGGGAGATTATACTACTTACCTCATGCGTTGTGATCTTTTCTGGATAGCTGGTAAGCGTAAATTTAGCAAGCTCGACTCTATGTTTAAGATGATTTTCAACATGGGAACAGGTGTGCTGGCTGCATGACTCCATAATCTGGGGCCGGGACTTGTTCCTTTAGCGTAATGTTCACTTCTTACCCGGCTCACGCGCGATGGCGTGGTCTCTATGTTCTTGAAATAATAATCTATATATATATATATATATTTTCTATCATATCTGTAGGCCTATGGAAAAGTACTTATAACTCTTCAGAGTCCTCTCAGAATGTGTCTTAAAACCATCCGCTTATCGCTGTAAGCATCCAGTCTTTACTATCATCTTCCAATAATTACTGTCAATTTCTATTTCTCTTTTAAGACCATTCTTCAATCAGTCATTATAATGTTTATCAACGATATCTTCGCCGCCGCTGTTCTTGCAGCCTCTGCCGTAACAGCAGTACCCTCCTTCATTCCCAAACTGAAACATCAAGATACTGTCAAGCTTTGCGAACATTTTAATTGGTCTTCATGCGGTGAGGTCGCTTACAGACCCGATGTCTGTGGTAAGATCCTTCTTCCAAACCGTATTGATTCGAAGCTTATGAAAGTAAAGTGGACCAAATTGGTATCTTTCAGGATGCTGTTTCCTCTCTCGATACCCGTAAAAAACAATGCCAGTTCTTCGTGTAAGCACTTATTCTTTCTTCTGATCTCAGCGCAATCAGCTAATTGAGATAGTGACAACTACTGCAATTCTGCCTCTGGATTTTTCAATTGGAATGGCGATATTCAGAATATCAAGGATCACCCCGACCTGAGTCAATACGAAAATGCAATCTCCTCTTTCAGATGCGCAGCGTGATATGCTCCTAGCTACGAAGTATAGCCTCAATATGATGAGCTGGATTCACTCAGGCAGTTTGGAAGAGATTCAGCACTTCTGGACTAGTTTGGACTGGATTTGACGGCTGGGATTGGATTAGGTTGCCTGCTAGAACCAGATAATTATCCCTATGAAGTGGGAGAAAAGAGGATGATCATCAATCTAAGAGGTGTAGAAGGTCTACATAATATGGGTCACACTACTAGAGTCTTCAAGTAATTAATGAGGGCGGTTCCTTCCACGCACTTTCTGGACTGATTGCACTATACCCTATCTATCTTGGCTTGACTTTGGAATCAGAAATCAAATCCAGCTTTTATGCTACATTTAAAATGATATACGTAGTAAGTGATCCTTCGTCCCAAGCGTGATAAAGTCCTTAGAAATTTTAGCGCAACACAGCTAAGACATGGATTATTCAATACATTTGTAGTTGTAGTTGCAGTTATAGTAGTTGTAGTTCTACGTAGTACGTAGTACTTTGAGGCACCCTCGAGGGGTAATACTTAGGCCTGTACCGTGGTACTTCGTCCTGTGCGAAACAAATATATCCTATTTAAAGAAGGTCAAGAAGTCTAATTTTATTTTTACCTGTACGAAGTGCTCCTTACGAACCTTCAGCTTTCTTTCTCTCTTTTTCTTGCGGTAAAGAAAGAGATAAAGAGTCTAGAAAGCCGAAATTGAATTATTAATATGCGACGTCTTTTCGAGGAGATCTTTTTTTGCCGGCGGTTCCGAACCTCCCTCCTTCTTCTTCTCGAATACTACCGTACGCCGACTACGATCTATACTTAACGGGCATACCGATTAAAAAGACTAAAAGGATTTCAGATAAAAGAACGGGTGTAAAAGACGGGATAAAAAGAGCTTAATCCGATTGATCGAAAATACGTAGTACGACATTGCGCCTTCGAAAGAGCGTCTTGCAAACACACCGGCTCTATTTAAAGGCTACGAACGCGAGCCTTCTTAGCTTTACAACGAAAAAAACGACGTTCGTATTATACGGATCGAGGCCGCCCGTAAGACCATACGTATTCGATAGTTGTCGAAAGAAAAGTCGATGCACAGCATTATAAATTGCTTTTAAAAAGTTTACATAGTGTTTCGCTATTTGATCGAGAGCTTTTCTCTAACGCGGTTTTACTTTCGATTAGATAATACTTTATATATAATTCCTTTACTTAGCACGTCGCCGTACCTTATAAAAGGTCCTCAGGGTCTAAACATTGCGTTTTGGATACCCGCCCGACGTTAGTAAATATAATAACAATAGAAATTATCAAAGGTAAACATGTTTCACTTAGACCACTGGATTATTGGTACCGCCGAAAATATAACAATCGAAAATGGACGGTTCCAAGAGCTGAGACGTACTGATCTGCGGACTTGCTTACGTTGTTACTATTTCTATACAGTAGTGCCGGTACTTTGTACTACCCGGCTCTAAACTCGGGAGCTGCTGCGCCGACGCCGCTATGGCTGGATAACAAGTTATGCAAGAGACTACCGGCATCAGATTATTTAGCAAATCAGCGGGGAAGCCAGATAGCGGGGCGCATAAGGCTAACACCCGGGCATATGTATTTTGCCCGGCCTAGAAGTTCACATTGAAAAAAGTATATAGAAATCGTAGTAACTCATCTAGCCTTGCTATAGCGAATCGACCTCCTAAGGAGCATCGTTGTCTGTCACCTGAAATCAATTGACCACCGCTCCAGCGCCGCCGGTCTCACACCCTCTGCAGATCGCGGCTGTCAAAAACCTAATCAAAATTGACTTCTATTCATAGCTAAAACTACTACAACTACTATTATGGGGGGGTGGACTGGGCAACAGTATACTAATCTATCCACTTCATCTATCCCATACAACGTAGCGAAAAGACAGACCGAAGCCGACAACATCCGTGATCTTATAGAAAAGTACTTATATCTCTTCAAAACCCTTCACGACTAGATATCATTCAACCTCATCATAAGCATCTATTCTTCCTCGCCAACTTCTATTCACTTCTCAAAAATACCCTTCCTTCTTACTGCCAATCTACCAATATCATGTTTGCCAACACAATCGTCGCCGCGGTGGTTCTTGCAGCCTCTGTCGTAACAGCGGCACCTTCTACTCTCGTTGCTAGAGGGCAAGGATTCGTCAACGTTTGCATCGATCCTGACTATGTTGATTGCTACGATAAGTACTACAAAGACAACACGTGTAGTAAGAGATTCCCCTTTTCCCCAAACTTTGGAGATCGAAGCTTACACATTCAACAGTCGATTTTAAAGAAGGTGATAAGTATAACGATGCTATCAGCTCTTTGAATACAAATGGAGCCCAATGCTATTTCTATGAGTAAGCACTCCATCTTGATGTTTTCTCCATTTCAATCTCAGATAGCTAGCTGATCGAGATTAGGTACCAAGGGTGCTCTTCCATATCTTTCGTAGCGAGTGGCGGAATTCCCAACCTCGCCGAGCGCACCGTTAAAACCGATGATTGGATCTCTTCTTTCAAATGCAATATATCTTAGTCTTGAGTTGGATTGGCGGCTAGGACTCAGGGTTGTGCTATCTAGTATAGATGATTTATCTTTGATCAGGCATCGATATTACTTTTATGGATTGCTACATGTACACATACATACGATGTATTGGTTATTGTATATATTGGTATGCGGTCTTCCCATTTCGGTCGCAGCTGGTTTATAGATAGATGATCAAGCCCCTTGCATTTTCGAGCTCTCCGTTCCACACCTCTCTCATCTCTTGCGAATTCTCATTCGATACTTGCCAAGTTGCAGGTATATCTTAGCACGCGAAAAGGTACCAAGACACAGGGCAACTATTCTAACCTACATCCGATCGGTAATACCAACCAACACCCCTTTAATCTAACCTTTGCGCAAGAATCCAGACCTTCAGCAAGAAACACGTTCCCTTATCCGCTTACCTTCAATACTTAAGAAAAGCTATTTACATTACTGCACCATCAACACATGATAGGATAGCAACATCGAATCACTGAATTGGAACAACCTTCCTTCCTCTTTCACCAATTCAGTTTCCGGAAAACTTCAATACGCATAAAAATTCCGCCCACAATCTCATTTCAATTTTTGATTTCACCCCGAGACTTATTTTTCTAATATTTGATAGTGGCCATCGCTTCCCGCGCAATCTTCCAACAGCATCTACTTACCTACGTACTTCTTCCTTCATCCGAGATCCAGGCCGCGCTGCGCATATCCATCTGTACGCGTATCTTTGAAATGCCTCTCAAAGGTTTACCTAAGAGTCTGCGACGCCGCGGGATCAGAAACCCCCGTCATTGGTTATCTGACAAGAGAGCCTTTCCCTGCTGACGTGGTTTCTGCTCTCAATGGGATGGTATTTTATATATTTTTTATGTGTCATCCTCTGCCTCTGCTTAGCACGCCGTCGGACCCTGCGAGAAATTGTGTCCGATCCATACCATTCACCCCTCAAACAAAAGCAACTTCTGCAGAATCCCATCTCCATCTCATCCACCACCTACCTATATAAAATAGTAACAGATACAACTTAAGCTATACTTTACCAGACCCTGATCTGACCTGACCCAGACCCCAGAGAAAGAGAAAGAGAAAGAGAAAGAGAAAGAGAAAGAGAAAGAGAAAG